TAAAAGAAAAATGGACCAGAATTATTGAAGCCTGTAGGAAACAGCAAATCACATAATCTCACTAATACCCAGGGTTCATGAATGCTTGCTAGCTGGTTGAATTTTGCATTAAAAATATTGCACTTGTCATTGAAAATTGGCGTTTTTGCATTCACTATTTTGCATAACTTCATCTTTTCTGTAAATCTGGTTGTACGTTTTTTAAAAGAAAATGATTGGGCTTATAAAAATATTACATGATGGTTTATGTATGCAAATCCCAGAATTGTCAAATTCTGTTTGTGAGCCATGAGGGAGTTTGTCTGGACTGAGAAGCTTGCAGATGGCCTCTTATATGAGCCACTGCTGTATATATTAAGCTGGTTGCTCTGCGACTGAGTTCAAACAATATTGTGAGTCAGCCTGCAGGTACAGCATTAAAATGATGACTGTTTATGAAAAAATGATGTGAAGAGGCGAGTTTGTACTCATATCACTTGCACAGACTTTTCCTGGTGGTCAATTTATCAGTCACACTGAGGTTTGGATCATCTGCTTTATCTGTATGGAAAGAAAGAAGAGTAAACGCAAATTACATCATCACCAAAACTCTACTCTGCAAAGAGAATTGCATACAAAGCATAATTTGAATTGGCCTTTAGCAAGGAAGGGAATAGTAGTTTTTTTAGGTTCAAATGAAGAGTTTTAAATGGAATAAAAGCTTACTACTTACTGAATACTGCACAATATATCATATTTTATCATTAATAAGTGGAACAAAAGGCACTATTCCATCCTAAATGTTTTAAATCGTAGTAGTGTGCTACTTTGTTGTCCTCAAGGTTATTATAGTTAACTAAAACTTAAACCATAAAATAAAAAAATGTAAATAAAACCTATTTTATTTCAGCTTTAACATTTCTAACATTTTCATTTACAGTAGTTTAACTCAATGTACTGAAATAAAAACTATATAATTAAAACAACTGTATTACTGTAACTATAAAAACTATAATTTAAAACTTTAATTCAACATTAAAAAATTGTCACATGACCTTACAGTATTTATCACATGACCTCATCACATTGCATGTTTAATTCAGAAGGTGTCTTCCACATTTCATTTTGGAATTAACATTGATTATTTTACTTTTTTTATCCTAATTTTTGTTAAAAAAAAAAATGCCTTTTTATGTCATGGTTTGATTAAATACATCAAGAAAGAGGTTAAAAACCGGGTCATTTTACTTCGTTACACACTGGTTCACCCTAGAAAGGTCAACTGCTCTGTTGTATACTGCTCATTTTGTTAAGTAACAGGTCATCTTATACAGAAAATGTACACTTACTACACTCTAAAAAATGCTGGGTTAAATATATATCCCAGCTATTGGGTTGTTTTGACCCAGCGGTTCGGTTCAAAACATCCCAACCGCTGGGTCAAAACAACCCAATAGCTGGGTTTGTCCCTTTTTAACCCAGTGCTGGGTTATATTTAACCCAGCATTTTTTAGAGTGTATATATTGTAGGGGTTGAATGACTTCTGCTTTTTTGAAGTCGACTTTTATGTGATGAAAGTCGAGTCGAAGTCGACTAGTCGCTGATGACGTCATTAATGAACAAATAAGTCTGGAGCTGTGATAAACACCTTGTGCACAGCTATGGCATATGACACAGCACTGCCCACATGGCTGTTGCTCCTATAACAGCTCTTTTATCAGTTCTTTTGTCTTTGGGTCGTTATATTTCTCACAGATTTCTGCTCGTTCTAAATCAGATACAGAAAAATCAGATGAAATGATGATCAGCGGTAGCTGAGAGCTAACTAAACTAAAGATTACATTAATATGAATGCATTAATGAGAGCGATTGCGTGTGTGAATTAATTCTACCTGGCAGCGTCTCTCTACTAGTAGTGAAGCTGTGGAATTTAGTTATTAAGAAATATATGCTTGAACTTTTCAGTTTCTAAGCTATTTTATTGAGAAATCACAGAACAGTGTTGACAATACATTTCCGCGCTGAATGATTATGTGCGTGCGATGTACGCGCTACTGTCTGTAGCCTATGTGTGTGCGTTACAGTGCAGCAGCGCATTAGATTAGAAT